TTATTTCTGTTTATTAGTTAATTAATTATTTTTTTTTAGCCATTAATGCAATAATACATGTACTAGATGTCACACCAGGTAAGAAAAAAAATTATCTGATGGTCCTTTTGTCAAATGCATATTATAGAGGATATTTTTATTGCTATGCTTTTCCTTAACTTTGGCATTAGATACGGATGAGGGTGTGGAAAATGATACTCTTGCTATTCCTTTTTTCCTTTGGGGTGCGTTAAATGTTGGTCCAGTCTTAATAGCAGCATTTTTGGGATCTTATGTTGAGGTAAGAGGATAGTGTAGAATATTAGACAATTGAATTCAAGTAATAAAGATTATTTCTGAAAGTTTGGAAAAGAAAAAAAAACAAAGTGTATATATCTATATCTATAAATCTATGCATCTATCTATATATACACATATATATGTATATATATATGTGTATATATATGATATGTATATGTATATGTACATATTTAGATTATTTTTAAAAATTACCCTGTTTCTCATCAAAAGCCTGTGGCAGCAGGCAGTGGAATCCCCCAAGTGAAGTGCTACCTGAATGGTGTGAAGGTTCCCCGTGTGGTGAGAATAAAGACGCTTGCAAGCAAGGCGTTTGGTGTCACAATGTCAGTGCTTGGAGGATTGGCTGTTGGAAAGGAAGGTGCAAAGATGATGGTTGTTCTGGAAATGAATGAATGTCTGGTAATGTTTTAATTCCAGGAGAGAATGCTAGGAATTCAAAGATTAGGGTTATGTGCTCAGGAGTTGTGTTTAAAGCTAGGGTTGCTCTTCGAGGAATGTTGGAAACAGAAGAGCATGGTTAATCCATTGGCACCAGGTACATGCACTGTACACTGTAGTTTTGTTTGTCAGTTTTGTTTATACATACAGGGCCATAGTAGAAGTAAGTTACTTATGCCTGCCTTGCTTCACATATTTACTCCATTCTTTAAATTTTCATTAAAAAAGTTTTTTTTCTAATACTCATTATTGTTGGTATTGTGTTTGTATTGCTATTGATATTGTTATTGTAATTGTTATCATCATCACTTTTATCATTATTATCATTATCATTAACAATGCTACTATTAATAGATATAAAAACTCAAAAAATTCAAGGAGTAGGGTAATCAGGTGAGATTAGGTAGGCCTGATAATTCTCTTTGATTATTAAGTACTTGTGGGACCATCTATGTGTAGATAAAACTGATAACCTAAAATCATTGTATAAATCCTTGGCATCAATTGTTGGATTTTTAACACTTTATTCATTGTTTTCATGTTTTGGTTGGATTTTTGTACCTTGTTATAAGAAATACATTTTCCAATAAATTGCTGTAAATTATTGTATAAAAAACAAACCTTCCAATGTATTACATAAATACAGAAAGAAATAGAGTTTTGTAGATCTTAAAGCTTTCTTTCCAGACAATTTAACATTGTGGACTCTGATAGCATAGTTATGTGTACATGTTAGAGAATGTGGAGAAGTAATATCAAAACATTTGAAAGAATGAAAGAAAAATAAGTTATAGATTTTATTTTAGAAGGAAAAAACAAACAAACTTATAATTAAGTCTAAGAATCAGGTAACTGAATGCTGGACTTACAATGAAGTCTCGGTCATCTTTTCCCAACTGCAGGAAGGTCCAATGATTCACTCGGGTGCTGTCATAGCAGCGGGAGTTTCTCAGGGAAAGACGACCTCCTTCCAGCGGGACTTTGGTTTCTTTGAGTACTTTCGGGAGGACCATGAGAAGCGAGATTTTGTATCTGCTGGTGCTGCTGCGGGTGTAGCTGCTGCATTTGGTGCTCCTGTTGGTGAGTTGTAAGATGTGTTTTCTTAAGGAAAATTTATGATATTATTTGTTTTTGTTTGCCTTGGGGAGGATAAAGAATGACTGACATATTCTGTTGTGCTGATAGCATAGCAGAAAGATACACTATACATTAAATAACTTTACCATCAGTTGAGCAAACTAATTTTCTTTTAATAGTGAATTTTTTTTTTTTATCATGAATATGGTATTTTTTGCATGATGGAATTTCTGGGAAGAAATGGGACTATTTTGTTGCTGATATGTAAGCAGTTTTTATTACAACACTTCATGATTATAAGATTATCACTAATCTTTTTGCTAGGTCACTAGATAATTATGATATCAAATTACCTATTCTTTATGAGTGATGTCTAATTAAGTCCTGTTAGAACTGTTGCTGATGCTGGATGGCTTCAAATCAGGCCATGAACCCGGGTTCCAGAAGTGGTAATGATGCCCCTGTTGGTGAACCCAGACATGAACTGGATGATAACACAGGTGCAGAGTGGTGTGCACTAATCTTGGCCCAACCAGACATGAATTAATCAAGTAATATTACCTGAATGTTGTCACAGGTGGTGTGCTGTTCTCCTTGGAAGAAGGTGCAAGTTTCTGGAACCAGAGCCTTACGTGGAGAGTGTTCTTTGGAGCCATGATGTCTGTCTTTACACTCAACTTGGTCC